TAAAATGAAAATTACTTTGCATGTTAGATAGGCAACATGTGAAAATAAAAAAAGGCACGAGAAAAACATTCCTTTATAAACCTTAAGACTTAATAAAAAAAAATTGATATTTTGCATATGAAAGCATTGTAATGTTTACTGATAATGTACCAAATTTCGTTAACAATTACTTACTAATTTAAAAGTTATAGTATGAAAACTATAACAAGCACAATGGTTACGAGGTCGGCCTATGCTGAAAGAGTTAAGTGACCTAATGTAAAGCTAACATAGGGATCAAGTGATGCTATAGTTGTTGCTATAAAGTCTACAGTTTATCAATATATAAAGGTTTCAAAGTAATACATACAATGTATCACCAAATACTTTAACTTTTTAAAATACTGATTCTTGAATTTGTTTGGTTAAGACCATTTATTATTATGACATCATTATGCTAATATACTGATAATTTTTTTTAGAAGTTACATTTAAAGATTAGGAATCACAGTCAATAATTATAATGCATCAGTAACTTCATTAAGCAGGAAGAAGAATGTAGATAAATAAAACAAACTGAACTGAACATTTGAGTGGAAATTAGATAACAGTGTTGTTGTCATATTTCCTGACCAGAGTCGGTTAATATAAATTACTCTGTATGTTCTAATGCAAGAATTCCAAAGAAATAAATTCTCTTCACACTTTTTATTTTTGGAATGTATTTTAATCTTTGAGAATGTAAAAAATAATAACCAGTTTGGCAGTAAGGATTTCATATCTCGAATTTCTTTAATTTTCTTTTAGTAATCTGTGAATTTGATATTCATTTTGAAATATTCAAAAATATTTTCAGTCACTTCTGTGCTGATATTTTTATTGTAGATTGTGGATTCAGTGCCCACCGAAAATGTTCAGAAAATATTCCCAATGATTGTCTCCCAGATTTGAAATATGTGAAAAGAGTGTTTGGCATGGATCTCACAACTTTAGTCAAGGCCCACAATACACCAAGACCCTTTGTAGTTGATTTGTGCATAAAAGAAATAGAAAACAGAGGTAAGTAATTAAATACTTTTTATATTCTTAAACATGTGTTAGCAATTTCTAAATTTCTCAAATATAATTGCAGTTTTTAGTATGATATAAAATTTCCAATTTTACTGAAAGCTAATGAAATATTAGGTTGTCAAGAAATTAATGTCACTTTTTTTTAGATGAAAAAAACCCAAACAACTTATATATCAAAACAAAACATTTATTA